TTCCTGCTGCTTCTCCTTTGAGATCTATTTATCCTTTATTAAATATGTATTTGTGTCTAATTTATTTGCAAAAGGTTATTAGTCTGAGAAGATAGTATACATTCATTTGTGTACTCCTTTCTCTAATCAAATATCCTGAAAAGATTACCCCTTCCTGTGATTCCAACGCAATACAAGATACACTTACTGTATCTCATTAGCCAATGCCTAGCTAGCAGGTTAAAAGAAGTGGGCACCACAAAAGCGTAACTAGAAACTTCAGAGCCCCAATGCAAGAAACCATGAAGGGACCCCCTGACCCCCATCCGGGGCCCTTCTCTTCAAGCCTGGTGGTGGAATGCCAGGGCCCAATCACATTTGCGGCCTTTGCAGCCTCTGGTAGTTCCACTACTGGGGTCAGTAGTTTTTTTTATTTTTGTTTTATTTTCTTTATTATTTTTTACTATTTTATTTTATTTTTATATTTTTTTACAATATTATCTTGTATTTTTTTTACAATTTTTTTTAGGATCCCTGTTTGGGTGGGGCTTTGGCCAAATTTTAGATGTCTAAAGTACCCTCTGATATTTCACCTTTGATACAGATAAAGGAGATGGAAAACACAGCCCTCAATCTCCTTCTCTGCAGCCTCAGCTGCCAAATAGCGTTTTTAAATGCTAGTTGGTGGCGAGTAACACTTTAATAATACTTAAAAGACAACATAAGCGCCCACCTGACTGACAGCAACCTCCTTGACCCACTACAGTCCGGCTTCCGTCCCCTACACTCCACCGAAACTGCCCTCCTCAAAATCACCAACGATCTACTAACCGCCAAAGCCAAAGGCGACTACTCTGTCCTCCTCCTCCTAGACCTCTCCGTGGCCTTTGACACAGTCGACCACCCCCTCCTCCTTAATAAACTACTCTCCCTTGGCATCAGAGACACCGCTCTCTCCTGGTTCTCGTCCTATCTATCCCAACGCTCCTTCAGCGTTTCCTACAACGGTGCCACCTCCTCCTCACTCCCCTCTCTGTTGGGGTCCCCCAGGGCTCTGTCCTTGGACCCCTTCTCTTCTCCATCTACACCTCCTCCCTTGGCAAACTCATACACTCCCACGGCTTCAATTACCACCTCTATGCCGATGATACTCAAATCTACCTATCCACCCCTCACCTCACCCCCACATTCTCCGCCCGCATCACTCACCTCCTAAACGACATCTCTGACTGGATGTCGCTCCATTTCCTCAAACTCAACCTCTCCAAAACCGAGCTTCTCATCTTCCCCCCAGCCCGCGCCCCCCCCCCCATCCTTTCCATCACTACCAACAACACCACCATCAATCCCGCCCAGCAAGCCAAAGTCCTTGGCGTCATTCTGGACTCAAACCTTTCCTTTCAACCTCATATCAAATCTCTCACAAACACATGCAGACTCCACCTCCGCAATATCGCCAAGATACGCTCCTTCCTTACCCCAGACACCACTAAACTACTAGTACACTCCCTGATTATCTCACGCCTGGACTACTGCAACTCCCTCCTCACCGGCCTACCCCGGTGCAGGCTCTCCCCGCTTCAGACCATCCTGAACTCAGCGGCCAGACTCATCCACCTCACCACCCGCTCCACCTCTGCCACCCCCCTCTGCCTCTCCCTCCACTGGCTCCCCATTGCCCAACGCATTAAATTTAAATTGCTCACCCTGACCTATAAGGCCATTCACAACACTGCCCCTAACTACCTCACCGACCTGATTCCCAGGTACCACCCTACCCGTACCCTTCGCTCTTCACAGGACCTCCTTCTATCTTGCTCCCTGGTCTCCTCCTCCCACGCACGACTGCAAGACTTCTCCAGGTCCTCCCCCATCCTCTGGAACTCACTACCCCAATCCATCAGACTGTCACCTTCCCTCCTCACCTTCAGGCGCTCCCTGAAAACCCACCTCTTCAGGGAAGCCTACCCCACCCTCACCTAACAGCCGCTGCCCTTCCCTCCTCCTACCACTCCATCCCCCACAGCCGTTTCCTCCTGTGCCGCTACCCCCTCCCTCCTAGATTGTATGCTCGAAAGAGTAGGGCCCTCTAACCCCTCGTGTGCTGTTTGATGATACTGTTCTGTTTCATGTATTGTCCCCCCTCTATTGTACAGCGCTGAGCAAACCCTTTGGCGCTATATAAACTCGATAAATAAATAAATAATAAATAATAAATAAACATTTAAAGTGCAAAACTCCTTTAAATAACATTCTTTTTGTTTATTAAAGGCCAGAAACTGTCTGTGTTTTTATGTACTTTTCTTTTTTTTGTGAAGTAGGGGTACTCCGTACAGACTGCTCATTCACATAGAGGGGCCTGGTATCTGGAGAATGGCCGTAGACCCCCTCTACCACCAGACCAGGGTTGTGGGGAAGAGGCCCTTGTTCTCATCAACATTGAGACAAGGTTCTTTGCCAGGGGGTCCCCCTCCAAAAATCACACCAGACCCTTATCCAAGAATGCAACCTGGCTGGCCCAAAAAGGATGGGTGAAAAGCATGCATCCTCTTCCTCTGTTAAATTATACCAAGCCTCATGCCCTCAATATGTGGGAGAGTACTTTTAAAAAGAGGTGTACTAACCACCTACTATACCAAAAATAACTGTAAACATCCTAAGCAATTATCCCCGCAGGAGCCGCTGGTAACTTGCCCAGGCTTCTTCCTAGATTTACTCCCGCAGCAAAGCACACCACATTCCTTATTGAGGTGCACACAACTTCTGCTCATTACTCCAATGATCAGTCTAGGGGTTGCAGTTTATTTGTTGTTTTATTTGTTTTTGGAACTGGGATAAGGAAGGGATATAGTAGGATACTCTGGATCAAACTATGCACAATTGAGGACTGCTTTCTTTAAGCGGATCTATGTACAAGAATGGAGCAAAGTCCCTCTATAGATATGCAGCCATAGTGGACAGTTGCTCTTCTGGACACCAGCTGGTGTCCTCTCTGGCTTACACCCAGCAGCTGCCTATATAGGTCCAGAATGGGGGGGTTAAACAGCACAAGTCCCAGCATTCCTGAAGTACAGTCTGGACTCACACAGCCTTTACCGCAAGTCACCTTTCTTCGTGATACCAGACATGATCTGTAGACATCCCTCCTCAGTCATCTCTCAGAAGCACGATGGGTTTCAGCATTCTGGCCTTCTGGTCGCCCACCCGAGGCCTCCTGGCAGCATGAGCCAGGGAGGCAGCTGCCTCCACCTGTCTGAAGCTCCCTTCTCCCAGGGAGAGAAAGAGGAAGAACGCAGATCACATGTGCTTACTGAAGATAAATACTAGTACCCAGCATTCCCAGGGGCACCACTCCTGTTCACCCAGAACCTTCCATGGTCTCCTTGATACAGAGAAGCCAATCACAGCTGCACAATGAGCCACATGGGATCTCTCACTGTGAAATTGTAGCTTCCTGTTAAGCAGAAAAGCTGCTATGGTTTACCTATCTGGCCTCTGTCAAGCAAGAGACCACACTATACTAAACTAGACTATACACACCCTAGCAACCTACCTAGGAGGGTGCTACACAATATAGTGCTAACATACAAAACTAACACAAAGGCTATAGATTCTGGCATAACAAAAGAAATAAGGATTGGAAAACTAGTAAGATCCCAGTAAGTCCATACCCATATGAAGCTGTAAAAAGGTATCAAGGGCATCCATAGAATAGCTTTCTATCATGGTGTGCAATCACATTTTGCCATCAGTTATTCTTTTTTGCATGTTCACACTATATTAATTAGGATGTTCATAGTTATGCTTGGTATATAGGTGGTTATTGCAATTTATAAACATGTTTGGTTATCTTGTGGTCACGGGCATTTTGAGGTATCTTTTGAGATATCTTGTGTTATATTTAGAGAATTCCTATTGGAGCGTAAAAGTGCAATTAGTTTTTATTGTTATCCTAGGAAAAGTTAAGAGACCACTTCATGTGTGAACATGTAACAACCCAGTGACTCCAATATTGCCGGTATCCAACAGGACTTGCTCAACCTCCTGGAACTGACTGTCAGAAAAGGTAGGGAGCAGCACACCAGCAATCAACTCATTCACCATATATGGAGGACTGGCTTTAGCTTGTCCTCTCCCAAGCCAAAATGACACATTTCACCCCCCCCCCCCCCCCCCTTTCCCTCATGGGCTTACTCATAGAGCACACGGCTTTAAGACTAAGCCTGTGGGAGGGCTCTTTCTGATACTTAGTTTACATTGTTACTGCAAGTGTGAAAATCTTTATTTATTTACATACAATTCTTGGTTTATACCCCTTTTTTAATAAATTATTTTTATTAGGTTTTATTACCCTACTATTGGTATTTACATTCTAAGGGATTCCTTGATGAGCTGGGATTATTTAAGGGTTAGGGTGTTACATATTTTATATTTTCATTGTATTAAATAAACTGTACATATTTTGCACAAGCAGTTTGGCTAATTGTTTCTTACAAAACTGTGGTGGCTTTGAGTAAAATAAAAAAAATTGTATTTTAAATGCTTACAAATAAACATCAATCTCCTAATAAACCACTTACCTCCTTCCATTAATCTTGGTGTTGCCCCAGTTTCTCAATCCCTTGCTTCACCTCCGTACATTACCTTTTATGTGACTTCCAGTAGAGGATATGAGTACTTTAAGTCTGCTAGAAAGTCTGCAAGGAATGCTGTCATCACAAGATGAAGATGCCCAGCAGCAGTCTTAGGGCTTTGGATTGGCTTTGGATATCTACACAAGGGTTGCTTTAGGTGTAAATAGCAGGCAAAAAATATGTTAAACAAATATACAGTATCTCACAGAAGTGAGTACACCCCTCACATTTTTGTAAATATTTTATTCTATCTTTTCATGTGACAACACTGAAGAAATTACACTTTACTACAATGTAAAGTAGTGAGTGTACAGCTTGTATAACAGTGTAAATTTGCTGTCCCCTCAAAATAACTCAACACACAGCTGGCAACAAAAGTGAGTACATCTGTCAGGAATGGACTGGCCAGCAATGGTGGGACTCACCTGCCTTTTGATCTGCAGTACCAGGGCTGGCCAGCGGGTGCTCCCAGCAATCAGAGACTCAACCTTTCAGCCAGCTAACACCTGGAACTGATGATGCTGGGGTATTTAAGGGATGGCCAGACCCACAGACTCTGCCTTGGTGTGTTTGTCCTGGGCCCTGTATCTGTCCTGCATCCTGTTTCTGTCCCTTTGCTGACCCTGCCTGATCTGAACTGCTGCTGACTTCTCCTGCTCTGATCCCTGGCTTGTGACCCTGACCATCCCCCTGCCTGACCCTCTGTACTACGCTGCTTGCTACCTGTTTTGATCCCTGGCTTGTGACCCTGACCATCCCTCTGCCTGACCCTCTGTACTACGCTGCTTGCTACCTGCTGAACCTGGCCTGTGACCCCGACCATTCTCTGCTTGCTCCCCCTGTACCTACCTGCCCAATTGATATTGACCCGGCCTGCCTGACGACGCTTGCTTGTATGTACTGTTATCTGTGGGTGGTTGGTTGGGTTTCTTTGCACTGTATTATGTTTAGTATTGCACTGCGTTTATGTTTGTATGGTTAGTGTTAATAAATTATATTGTTTATCACATATCTGAAGTCTGCGTTTCCCTGCATCAGTCACACACCTCTGGTCATACCTGGGAGCCCTGACATTACACCAAGGCCAATCCTGACCAGAAGTGGCTGCACAGGGAAGCCATCTTGGCTTGTTGATGGGAAGGATGGATCTTGATGAGGTTGAGTATTTATATCTGCTAGTGTTTGATGACAGGGAGTATGCTTATCAAACTCTGAAGGAGTATCCCCGGGATGAACTGCTAGAATGTATACGGCTCGCTCATGTTCTAGTAGATCAGGGCACAGAGTTCTCTGAGGTGCAGCCATTGATTGAGGTTTGTGCTGAGTTGGTTTCATCTGGTACCCCCCGAATGCAGGGATGAATTTTTGCCACCATTTAGTGCAGACCAGGTAGAGTCCCTGGTGTGGTTATTAGAGGATGATGTGGGTTACTTTCTGGAGCGTTATTCCACATGTTCACCACAGACACTAAGAGATTGTATAAACGCAGTGCAGTCTTTGGTCAGACAGGCTTTGTGTAAGCTCAGCTTTGTTCAACCCATACTGCAGACATGGACAGACTTGTTGCACCCAGCCTCAGTCAGCTTACAAAGACCCAGTCCTGCTTCTAATCTATTTCCTCAAAACTCTATTCCTGCATTCCCAACAGCTCCTCCTGCCCTGCTATCTACCGCATGTCAGTACCCTGTTCCCACTCGCTGCACCTATCCTGCCTTTAACCCTGTAGCAACTGCTCCCTCTCCTGTTCCATCCTCCAGCTCTTCTCTGTCTCCAGCTGCTCCATTCGTTTGCAGACCTGCGTTTACTTGCAGTGCCCCAGTAGTTAAAACCAGAAAAAAGCAAAATTCTTTCCAACCAATACCATCCTGCCAGTATCCAAACCGGTGAACCTGCCGTCTGAGAACCTGCCTTCCGTGGTTCAGCCTGGTGCCTCTCTTCAGCCTGATGCCTCTCCTCGGCCTGATGCCTCTCCTCGGCCTGATGCCTCTCCTCGGCCTGAAGCCTCTACTCGGCCTGAAGCCTCTACTCGGCCTGAAGCCTCTACTCAGCCGGACGCCGGCATTCAGCCTGATGCCTCTACCCAGCATGATGAACTGATCCAGCCTGACGATCCAATGCCTGGTGACCCAGTGCCCGCTGTCATACCTGGTGACCCGATGCCCGCTGTCGAGCCAGACAATCCGGTACCTGATGACCCGGTGCTCACTGTCGTGCCTGTTGACTCGGAGCCCACTGCCTTGCCAGATGACGCGGTGCCCGCTGTCGAGCCAAATGACCTGATGCCTGGTGACCCGATGCCCGCTGTCCAGTCAGACGATCCAATGTCTGACCCAGTGCCCGCGGTCATACCAGTTGACTCGGAGCCCACTGCCTTGCCAGATGACGCGGTGCCCGCTGTCGAGCCAAATGACCTGATGCCTGGTGACCCGATGCCCGCTGTCCAGCCAGACGATCCAATGTCTGACCCAGTGCCAGCGGTCATCCCAGTTGACTCGGAGCCCACTGTTGTGCCTGGTGACTCGGTGCCCGCCGCCCCGCCTGGGGGCCTGAGACCTGTCGTTCCGCCTAAGGGCCCGAGACCTGTCGCTCCGCCTGGGGGTCCGGCGCCCGCCACTCCGCCTGAGGGCCCGAGACCTGTCGCTCCGCCTGGGGGTCCGAGACCTGTCGCTCCATCTGGGGGTCCGGCGCCCGCCGCTCCGCCTGAGGGCCCGAGACCTGTCGCTCCGCCTGGGGGTCCGGCGCCCGCCGCTCCGCCTGGGGGCACGATGCCTGTCGCCCCGCCTGGGGGCACGGTGCCTGTCGCCCCGCCTGGGGGCACGATGCCTGTCGCCCCGCCTGGGGGCCCGATGCCGGTCGCCCCGCCCGGGGGCCCGGTGCCTGTCGCCCCGCCCGGGGGCCCGGTGCCTGTCGCCCCGCCCGGGGGCCCGGTGCCTGCCGCTCCGCCCGGGGGCCCGGTGCCTGCCGCTCCGCCCGGGGGCCCGGTGCCTGCTGCTCCGCCTGGTGGCCCGCTGCCTGCTGCTTCACCTGGTAATCCGATGTGCCTCTGCCCGGAGTCCTGCCCGATGTGCCTCTGCCCGGAGTCCTGCCCGATGTGCCTCTGCCCGGTGTGCCTCTGCCCGGAGTCCTGCCCGATGTGCCTCTGCCCGGAGTCCTGCCCGATGTGCCTCTGCCCGATGTGCCTCTGCCCGGAGTCCTGCCCGATGTGCCTCTGCCCGGTGTGCCTCTGCCCGGTGTGCCTCTGCCCAGTGTGCCTCTGCTCGATGTCCAGCCCGATGTGCCTCTGCCCGGAGTCCAGCCCGGTGTGCCGCTGCCCGGAGTCCTGCCCGGTGTGCCAGTCTTTGATATCCCGCCAGTTACCAGACCCGGGCGGTGGAACATTTTGCCCAGCTAGGACTGTTTGGAGCGTCCTGAGGCCGCTCCTTGAGGGGGGGGTACTGTCAGGAATGGACTGGCCAGCAATGGTGGGACTCACCTGCCTTTTGATCTGCAGTACCAGGGCTGGCCAGCGGGTGCTCCCAGCAATCAGAGACTCAACCTTTCAGCCAGCTAACACCTGAAACTGATGATGCTGGGGTATTTAAGGGATGGCCAGACCCACAGACTCTGCCTTGGTGTGTTTGTCCTGGGCCCTGTATCTGTCCTGCATCCTGTTTCTGTCCCTTTGCTGACCCTGCCTGATCTGAACTGCTGCTGACTTCTCCTGCTCTGATCCCTGGCTTGTGACCCTGACCATCCCTCTGCCTGACCCTCTGTACTACGCTGCTTGCTACCTGTTTTGATCCCTGGCTTGTGACCCTGACCATCCCTCTGCCTGACCCTCTGTACTACGCTGCTTGCTACCTGCTGAACCTGGCCTGTAACCCCGACCATTCTCTGCTTGCTCCCCCTGTACCTACCTGCCCAATTGATATTGACCCGGCCTGCCTGACGACGCTTGCTTGTATGTACTGTTATCTGTGGGTGGTTGGTTGGGTTTCTTTGCACTGTATTATGTTTAGTATTGCACTGCGTTTATGTTTGTATGGTTAGTGTTAATAAATTATATTGTTTATCACATATCTGAAGTCTGCGTTTCCCTGCATCAGTCACACACCTCTGGTCATACCTGGGAGCCCTGACAACATCCCTAAGTGGTGATGTCCAAATTGGGCCCAATTAGCCATTTTCCCTCCCCAGTATCATGTGACTGGTTAGTGTTCCAAGGTCTCAGGTGTGAATGGGGAGCAGGTGTGCTAAATTTGGTGTTATCGCTCTCACTCTCTCATACTGGCCACTGGAAGTTTAACATGAACTCTCTGAAGATCTGAAAAAAAGAATTGTTACTCTACATAAAGATGGCCTAGGCTAAAAGGAGATTGCCAAGACCCTGAAACTGAGTTGCAGCATGGTGGCCAAGACCATACAGCAGTTTAACAGGACAGGTTCCACTCAGAACAGGCCTCGCCATGGTTGATCAAAGAAGTTGAGTGCACTTGCTCAGCGTCATATCCAGAGGTTGTCTTTGGGAAATAGACATATGAGTGCTGCCAGCTTTCTGCAGAGGTTGAAGGGGTGGGGGGTCAGCCTGTCAGTGCTCAGACCATATGCCACACACTGCATCAAATTGGTCTGCATGGCTGTCATCCCAGAAGGAAGCCTCTTCTAAATAGGATGCACAAGAAAGCCTGCAAACAGTTTGCTGAAGACAAGCAGACTAAGGACAAGGATTACTGGAACCATGTCCTGTGGTCTGATGAAACCAAGATAAGCTTATTTGGTTCAGATGGTGTCAAGCGTGTGTGGCGGCAACTAGTTGAGGAGTACAAAGACAAGTGTGTCTTGCCTACAGTCAAGCATGGTGGTGTGAGTGTCATGGTCTGGGGCTGCATGAGTGCTGCCAGCACTGGGGAGCTACAGTTCATTGAGGGAACCATGAATGCAAACATGTACTGTGACATACTGAAGCAGAGCATGATCCCCTCCCTTCGGAGACTGGCCCGCAGGGCAGTATTCCAACATGATAACGACCCCAAACACACCTCCAAGACGACCACTGCCTTGCTAAAGAAGCTGAGGGTAAAGGTCATGGACTGGCCAAGCATGTCTCCAGACCTAAACTCTATTGAGCATCTATGGGGCATCCTCAAATGGAAGGTGGAGGAGCGCAATGCCTCTAACATCCACCAGCTCTGTGATGTCGTCATGGAGGAGGGGAAGAGGACTCCAGTGGCAACCTGTGAAGATCTGGTGAACTCCATGCCCAAGAGTGTTAAGGCAGTGCTGCAAAATAATAGCGGCAACACAAAATATTGCCACTTTGGGCCCAATTTGGACATTTTCACTTAGGGGTGTACTCACTTTTGTTGACAGCGGTTTAGACATTAATGGCTGTGTGTTGAATTATTTTGAGGGGACAGCAAATTTACACTGTTATACAAGCTGTACACTCGCTACTTTACATTGTAGCAAAGTGTCATTTCTTCAGTGTTGTCACATGAAAAAATATAATAAAATATTTGCAAAAATGTGAGGAGTGTACTCACTTCTGTGAGATACTGTATATTTTTATAGAAATAATTTTGTTGAAGTGACTTGTCCAAAAACAGGGTTTCTGTAAATCTAGCTTTGGTATAAATTGAGGACAGCTACATAGAAAAAGAAAAACTATTACTAGTTGTGACTGGAGTGTCTCTTTAACACAGTAATATACCCAGAAAAAAACAACATATGAGTAATAAGGCATTAAAATATTAATAGCATTCCCAAGATGTAGGTTCTTTAGCAAGTGTGATTCCTATAAATAATTAAAATGCTAATTTCCATGACCTAAATGAAATGTAGGGATGTAGGCCAGGCTTCCTACTATGTCTTTCTATAAAAACATTATATAGCTCTAGTGAGCTTCTGACATACATGAGTAAAGATAACACTGATGTGTCTGAACTGACAGATGCTTGTGGTATTCTGTGAACTTGAAAAATGTTTGTTCTAGTGCCTTTTTCCCATGAGTTCCCGTGAGAGTGCCCTGTGAAGGTTGCCTGCCTCTACATTCTTTTTATTTTGACAGTAGTCTGAGTAGATACAAAAGGCAGCGCTGATGCAGCACCATCATAAAATACAGAGCAAGATGCTAAGTGAGCCTATGATTACTGCTGTTTTCACTGAAATCTAAAAGCATGCACATACCAAACACATTGTGTGAGTATGAATTTCAAATTACAATCTTGCAATCCTGGGTTTTCAAGCAGTACTAAAGTCTAATGAATTCTTGAAAAAAAGCAATAAACTCAAGCTCAATAAAACTTTGCAAAGAACTGTCTTAATTGGCAGTTGACCCTTTTGCAAAAGGTACTACAAAATGGGTGACGATCCTCCTATTCAGATTTGAAAATGTTGGTAACTGACCATGATAGCTTATGCCAGACTCTTTTAAAGCCAAACTCTAGCCAAAAACAATTTTTGCCCATTGCACTGTAATAATAAACACTAATGAAGTGTGTGCAATGTGTGCCCGCTGCTGCATTATGCAATACTCTCTCATCCCCCATACAGTAGAGTCAGCACCAAACATCCCATGATGAAACTTACAGTTCCGGCTAAGGTATGAAGATCACAGCAGGTTGCTCACCCTGCAGCTCATCTATCCTGAAAATGTCTTGCTTTCTTTTCAACAATGCAACGTTCCTTCTGGAGAAAGGGAGATTGGGATTTTCATTTGCACAACCCCCAATCACAGAGTGCATCATTAAAAAGAATGCTGGATGGTTTTGGAATAGGTGACCTGCAGAGCAAATGGTCCTCTGTGATCTGGAACTGTAATTTTCAGTGCCAGAAGTCCAGTGCTGACTGTACTGTACGGGGGGAATGAAAGTAACAGTATTACACAATGCAGCAGCAGCCATTCATTCATGTTCATTTATTTTTTATCAGCTTTAAGGCTGGTTATTAACCCCTTCCCGTGATGGTACAGAGATATATGGACTCACTGAAATGGGTCTTTAGAAGTGAGGTTGCATATCTGTGTCTGTGTGCTAGGAATGTGCCACGCAGCAGGAAAGAAAGATGCAAATAAACAAAAGTGTGTAAAAAATTATAATAAAGAAAAAAATATCTAGATCAAGGTTTTGGTCTAGGTCAGTGTCAGGGTTAGTGTTAGGGTCAAGGTTAGGGTCAAGTGTCGGTATATTTTTGGGTAGTTTTTTTTTTTCTTAAAACATTTAGTATCAGTGACAGTGTCAGTGTGTTTTACGTAGGATAAAAAAGCAAAATGTGCACAGTTGTTTCTGGGTACAAACAGCAAATAAAATACCCATACTGGTATCACTGCGTTCGAAATCTTTGCTTTTACCATTTTGGGTTTCTCTTTGATAATAAAATGAAATCAGGAGATACCAATTACTATTTACCACCAAAGAAAGCCAAATTTGTCTTGTAAAAACAAGGTATAATCCACCTGGATACACGATGATATGTACTGTTTAACTAACACATGTCAAAGATGGAAAAGTGTGCTCAGGCATTAACATTTGTTTTACTCTCTGTCATTAAGGGGTTAATAATGATTATATTTATGATAATCAATCAGTAGGTAATTATTAGAGATGAGCGAATCGAACTTGGCGAAGTGGAATTCGTTTCGAATATTAGGAAAAATTTGATTAGGAAAATTAGCATACTTCGGATGCGCGAATCGAAATTTTTCCAAAAATGGCGGCGACATGTGTGGCGACGGAGCGGGGGATCTCTGGGAAGGCGCGCAGACAAGGCGCGCTGACCCATAATGCATTCATTCATGACATGTGATCGCATTAGCCAATCAGCAGCCAGCCAGCCAGCACTGTGTAATGGTGGAGCTATAAATTGCGGCCATCTTACAATTCTCCATTTGCCTCCGGTCATTCAAGAGAGACAGACCTCTCTGTATTAGGGACAGAGTTAGGGCCACAGATACTTTAGGGACACAGAATCGTTACTTAGGGACACAGAATTGTTACTCAGGGACACAGAATTGTTACTCAGGGACACAGAACTGTTACTCAGGGACACAGAAATGTTACTCAGGGACAGACACAGAATTGTTACTGAGGGACACAGAATTGTTACTGAGGGACACAGAATTGTTACTGAGGGACACAGATTTGTTACTGAGGGACACAGAATTGTTACTGAGGGACACATAATTGTTACTCAGGGACACAGAACTGTTACTCAGGGACAGACACAGAATTGTTACTGAGGGACACAGAATTGTTACTGAGGGACACAGAATTGTTACTCAGGGACAGACACAGAATTGTTACTGAGGGACACAGAATTGTTACTGAGGGACACAGAATTGTT